TTAATTGTCTAAAATGTTTATTTATTTTTTTTTTAGTTAACTAAATTTTCTTTTAGATATATATAATAATAAATAAATAATTCACAAGGAAAAAAAAATATTTTTTAGGGAAAATAAATTTCTTGAAACGTTTGAATTAGCATTTTATTGTTGTTTGTCTTTTTAATTTTCGATTCAAAAGATAATTAATTACATACCATCGGATTATTTAAAGAGAAATAAAATAGGTTCGGAGACACAAATATTACTATGTCATATTTTCTCATGGATTACATTAAAAAAAAATTTTTTTGCCCCAAACTTTATTATTTGTTTATTGTTTATCATCATCATCCGGGAAATTAAATTTAAATTTAAAATTAAAATTAATTAATAGGTTATGGATAAAGAAGGATGACATCGCAACAAAGAAGATAACTGGTTGATGAATTAATTAATTAAGGACGTGCGTATTATAAATAAAAAATGGTTTTTAATAAAAGACCTGCACTCATTATTATTATGCATATTTGTATGCGATCGGGAAATATGCTAAATTTGGTATTTTCTAATAAACGTTATGGAATTTCTTTAGATTGGCTAATTTATGCAGATCCTTTCGTTGAATAAATAGAGAAAAACAAGAAAATCATGGCGAGAGAGCTTTATTGACTGGTCATATAACTTCCAAATTATAGGACTAAGCAATATAAGATGCCAATTTTGTAATAGCATATAGTATATTATCCTGATAGATAATTTTAATATATATATGTACATAAATTAATTTTTTCTGTAATATATAGTTATTTAATAAAAATAATCAATTAATATTATTTATGCTCTCTGATTATGGCTAAATTATTAACTTTACCATTGAATATATACATACATAAAATTGGTACAATATTTCTAATAATTCACAAAACAATAAATATATAAATTTATTATATAGTAAAATTCGAATATACATAGTAATAGTAATAGTAAAATTTTATAATCACACTCTCGTTTGATACTCTTGCTGTGTAACAACCACCAAGCTATAATTTCTTTATTATATCTATGTACTTTAAGAAAATTTTTAAGGCAGGTTGTTAATAAAACGAAAATAATCTGACTCTCAAAGTCAAATTTTTCCTTTATATTCATGTGCGTAAAATTTTGTTTGATGCGTCCAATTCCAAGTATAAGCAGAAATAAATGTCCAAATATTACATTATTATAAATATTTGCAGGTTTTTGATCACTTAGGTTATGTCTTTTATAGCGAAATCAATTATTTTAAAAGTAAATATAATAAATAAATAGATATTAAAATTTTTTCTTTACTATACATAAATAATGATTAGAATAATAATA